AAAAAAGACTTCTTTGCATTGGTGGTCAGTGGTAAGGGGCTTTTTATGTCCTCTTAATATATCCTCAATTTACATAGGTGGTCAGTGATAGTAGGCTTTGATGACTCAATTAAATAAAAAGAATCCCTTTAAGTTAGTGGTGGTTGGCCTTTTATGTCCACCAATAAAAACAGCTTTTATATTGGTATTCAGTGTGATTCATGCTGTAAATTCCAGTTTATTGTGGACAAAGGAAATCTATCACAACGGACTTCAAACTGCAAACCAAGGGACACATCTGACCCGTTACAAGATTTTACCTAGCCCACAGCAACGTGTCCCAAATTTGAATCATGTGTTTTCAAGGTGCAGGTGGGCCAATGAAGCTGAGCAGCAAGAGGACATGCCATCATTTGCTATGGTCCAGGCATTGAGTCTGACCATACTGTGGAAACACCTAATGTTGATCCAGAGTGGCATCTAGGGCCACCCCAGCATTCAGAAGAGGGCCTTCTTTACCTCCCACCCTCCGTCAAGACTCTATAGAGATGAAGGGGAGATATTTTATTCAGTTCATTAGGATACTGTGAGCACAGAGAACTATGCTTAGGAGAAGGGGCCATGGCATGATGTCCTGCACTCAGTCCTTCCTTCTTCTGGGTTGAGTTACAATGAATGTTATTCAATCAGGATAACTGAGGACATTTGGATAACAGAAGTACAGTGGGAAATAGCTCTGGATTAAAGCTGAGCTGATTTTTTATGGTGGCCTCAGGGGACATTTAAAGAAAGAAACTAGCCTGGAGTTAGGTTTTATCTTCGTCCTAGGTCAATAAATCAGAAAGCACTGACAGCCTGGAAAATACCAATGGCAGCCCACATAGTTCTCTACAGATACAGTTTTCTTTGGTCTACAGCTAGAGAAGACTCTAGACATTGGAGTAAGTTTGTCACATTGCAATGAGGAAGACATCAAACAAAATTGCATTGTATTGATCACCAAATGGCTGCACATAAAATTCAGTATTTTATATATAGGTACTATAGGCATGTACTATAGGCATGATACAAGAGATGATCACAGACCGTGGACAAGAGATGGTCAGAAACCGCGGACATGCTACAGGTGTTGTTGGAGACTGCGGACATGCTACAGGAGTTGTTGAAGACTGCGGACATGCTTCAGAAGACAGTTTTAGACTGAAGATATATTGCATAAGGTTGCAAGAAATCACTACTATAACAGGAGATTAGTGCCTGCACGGGCTCCAAGGGCTGCAGAAAAAGTGCCAAAAAAGTGCCAGAGGTCCACAAGTGAACCCTGGGCTGCAGTTTGGGCACCAAGGAGCTAGGATAATACAAGTCAGAATCCAGTTACATAGACTATGGACATACTTATACCTATTCCATGCAGCGCCAGTGTGTTTACCCAACACAAAACGGAACATACAATTGAATAAACTAACAAATTCTCCCTTTTAGCCTGCAATCTCCAGGTTTCTAAATCATCTGGTGTTTCTTTATGGAAATAAGTGGTATTTGTGGCCAAATCCTACAAAGGGAAAAGAAAGATAAAATCTATTTCAGAGTTGAGTCAGGATCTGGTAACATATGCACAGTGAACCAAGGAGTGTGTAGGCCTGACGTGTTACATCATCTCAAAGTATTTACTTTCCCTTGTATGCTGTGTCAGTGAGTGGGTGACAGGGAGTGGGCAGGAAAGCCAGTTAGTGAGACATTTTCATAAATCATTTCTCTGTCTTGGTCTTGTAAGAGATTGTATTACAGAGAAATGTTTTTAGATGACAGAAGATTAACAAATTTTTTTCCTTTTTTTAACGATAAACCATAGATAGAAATGTTCAAGAAAATGAGGAAGATGCCAGGACCTCCTAGCACAACTCAAATAAGACTGGCAGCACACGGCATTTTACATCCTTCTTTATACAAGAGTGGAGAATCAGAAGTCTCTTGGTGGAAGATTTTTCATCAGGTTATCAAATCTCTCTGTGCAGTAACAAGCAATTCTGACAGCCTTTAGTGACCATTAGAATTGCCATGAAATTCACAAGTGATGCTTGCTTAACTGTAGGCAGATATAAAAGACAAATTCAATGCACATTTGTGATCCTTAATACATCATTAAGTATATTTTTTAAATGCAAGCAGTGTAAGTATTTCATTATTGACCTGGTATGAGCAAGTTGTAGTCTATGTGCAGCAGAGCTCAGTGTGGGAGTGGAAGAAGCAGCAGCACAAGGAGCCAATTGTTTTTTGCTCTAACACAGAGCAAGCTGATAGGACTGGAAAGCAGAAAGATAAATTTATAATTGTGCTGCTTCTGCTTTATTGCCCAGTCACTGGCCAGGGAGGGGGCACGATGGCCTGGGCCCAGAAGAAGTGGGTTGAATGTTGCTGACCATCATTCAACCTGAAAGATTGACATCTTGTGGCAGAATAGAAATACCACAGATTGAAAGATAGTATTGCAGTTATCCAGTTATTTTTCTAGAGTGAGAACAAATACATATATTGGTGTACATTCATAAAGTATTCAGACCCCCTTCACTTTTTTCAATGTTGTTATGTTGCAGTGTGATACTACAGTTGTTTACATTAATTTTTTTCTCATTATTCTACACTCAATACCCCATCATGATAAAGTGAAAACAGAATGTTAGAAATGTTTGCAAATGTATGAAAAAGGGAAATTGAAATATCAAATTGGCATAAGTATTCAGACCCTTTGCAACAATTGAAATTTAGTTCAGGTGCCTCCCATTTCTCTTGATTGTAGCTGAGATGTTTCTACACATTGATTGGAGTCCACCTGTGGTACATTAAACTGACTGGACATGATTTGGAAAGTCACACATCTTTCTATAAAAAGCCTCACAGCTGACAATGTGTAAGCCTTGTACCGGGGTGGGCTCCCCAGGATACAGTGAAGTCACGAACGAGCAAATCAACCCCAACACCAGCTTTTGACACAACAGAATTTTACTTAGATGTGGCAAATAAACACAACCACAAATGCTGAGAACATACAATAAATTTACATACACCCAGCCCAAAGGCTGAGACCCTTGTGCTGCACAGCACGGCGCCTTCTGATGGATGAAGGTAGAAAGTGTAGTAATTTACCTACTGGCGGGCACAACTAAGCTGCCACACCTTACCTGTTATTACCCTAAAAGAGCAGGAATCAGTGTATGGGTGTACGGTATGGGCTAGCCTGCGGTGCAGCACAACAGCTTACAATCTTACACAAATCTACAGTATTCCTCCTCCCATAACTGGTCCTGTAGCACGTGCCTGAGTATTCCTTCTGAGCAAAACGTCAGTCTGGCTTGAGTTTGTAGGATTTTATCAGCTCTCCAATGTGAAATGTCACTTTAAGTTGTGGAGTCCTTCCAATAATCAGTAACACCACTTGTGGCCTGACACAAACAGAGACCCTAACTAACTATAGGCCTGAACTCAGTCTCAAGGCGCCAACACTGAAATGATGAGGTGCGTGCACGATCTTACCGACCCGGGTCTGCTTTGTATCCGCTGGTGACTCTGAACAGAACAAATGTCTCTCCAACAAGCATGCGGTCTTGCCATATATGTTGCTTAGTTCCTCTGCTCTCATCAGCTTCCTAGCAGCAAACTCATCAGCTTCACTCAGCTGCAGGTCTGGTTACTGAGAGACGCATTCACACCTGGATGTCATCGGATTCTCAGCTCACATGGCCCCTTCATTCAGCATCGTCCAAAACATGGCTGCAGCCTCCTCTTGCTGTTCACTAAACTCCAAACTCTGAGTGCAAAATCCCACCTCTTCATGAATATACAAATATCTATGCAGTCTGATGCTGTGTTAGAAAAACAGTGACATCTTGTGACTAAACTGCAGAATGTCGGTCAAAACATTAATTTACTTCCACACAGTGTTCAAACAATGAGAGCTGTTTCCCCATCTCACAAATGCACACTGTATCAGAGCAAAAAACATGCGGTCAAAAGAACTTCCTGCAGATCTCAGAGAGAGCATTATTGCGAGGCACAGTTCTGTGCAAGACTCCAAAAATTTCTGCTGCACTAAAAGTTTCCCAAGTGCACAGTAGTCTTCATAACTGTCAAATGGAAGAGGTTTTCCAAGGATTTTCCAAGAGCTTGTCTCCTGGCCAAACTGAGCAATCAGGGAAGAAAGGCCTTAGTAAAAGAGGTGACCAAGAACCTGATGGTCACTCTGACTGAGCTCCAGAGATCCTGCGTGGAGATGGAACAAAGTTCCGGAAAGATAACCATCACTGCAGAGTGGCTAGATGGAAGCCTCTCTTCAGTGTAAAACATAAAAGCCAGCTTGGAGTTTGCAAAAAAGCACCTGAAGGACCCTCAGACCGTGAGGAATTAGATTCTCTGGTCTGATGAAACCAAGATTGAACTGTTTGGCCTCAATTGTAAATGTTATGTCTGAAGGAACCCTGTCTGGAGAAAACCAGCACTTGTCATCACCTGCCCAATATCATCCTTCACCTTCCAACATGACAACGATCCTAAGCACATAGCCAAGACAACACAGGAGTGGTTTATGGACAACTTTGTGAATGTCCTAGAGTGGCACAGCTAGAGCCCTGATTTGAAACCAATTGAACATCTTTGGAGAGACCTGATAATGGCTGTTCACCAATAGTCCCCATCCAACCTGCTTGATCTTGAAAGGATTAGCAAAGAAGAATGGCAGAAAATTCACCTTACAGGTACCCAAAAAGATTCAAGGCTGTAATTGCTGCAAAAGGTGCTTAAGCAAAGTACTGAGTAAAGGGTCTGAATACTTCAGTACATGTGATATTTCAGTTTTTTCTTTTTAATAAATTTACAGACATTTCACAGACATTTCTGAAATTCTATTTTCACTTTGTCGTTATGTGGTTCTGAGTGTATACTAACCACTCCCGCCCGCCATATAGTAATATGACGGGTGCAAGGTGGTTCTCTCGTTCTGGGAGGACGTCATATGACGTCGACCCATTCTCACTGCGCATTCGTGGCTCAGGGAAATGCCGGTTATCAGCATTTCTCTCCCCACGAGCTGTCACACACACTGACAGCTCGAGAGGAGAGGAGAGCCGGTAATCGGCTTTCCGCGGAGGGGACATGTACACTGATCATCAGGGCACTGATGATCAGTGTGCCCTGATAATCAGTGTAGCCCCAGCAGTGCCACCTGTCAGTGTCCATTAGTGCCTTATGTCAGTGCCTCGTGCCAGTGCCCATCAGTGCCACATCAGTGCCACATATCAGTGCACACAGGTGCACATCAATGCCACATATCAGTGCCCATTTGAGCTGCCTTTCAGAGCCAACTCTCAGTGCCAGTCAGTGCTGCCTATGAGTGCTCACAATCAGTGCCACCTATCATTGCCAGTCAGTGCCACCTATCAGTGCCAGCCAGTGCCGCCTATCAGTGCGCATCAGTGCTGCCTATCAGTGCCTGTCAGTGCCGCCTAACAGTGCCGGTCAGTGCTGCCTAGCAGTGCCAGTCAGTGCTGCCTATCAGTGCCAGTCAGTGCCGCCTATTAGTGCCAGTCAGTGCTGCCTATCAGTGCCATATATCAGTGCTGCCTTTCAGTGCCCATCAGTGATGCCTGTCAATGCCCATCAGTGCCACCTACCAGTGCCTCCTCATCAGTGCCACCTATCAGTGTCCATCAGTGCAGCCTATCAGTGCCCATCAGTGCAGCCTATCAGTGCCCATCAGTGCAGCCTCATTAGCGCACATCAGTGAAGGAGAAAAATCACTTATTTACAAAATTGTATAACAAAACTAAGAAAAAACATTTTTTTTTCAAAATTTTCAGCAGTTTTTGGTTTAAGAAAAAATAAAAAACCCAGAGGTGATTAAATACCACCAAAATAAAGCTCTATCTGTCACAAAAAAAAATTCATATCAGTACAGTGTTGTTTGACCGCGCAATTGTCATTCAAAGTGCGACAGCGCTGAAAGCTGGAAATTGGCCTGGACAGGAAGGGGGTATAAGTGCCCTGTAGGCTTGTGGTTAATGAGAAAAAAAATGAAAAACATAAACAACTATAGTATCAGGCTGCAACATAACAAAATTGAAAAAGGGAAGGGGGTCAGAATACTTTATGAATGCACTGTAGCAAGGTTTAGTCCCTTGAACCCCAAGAATGTGTTCAAATCACAGGACCGGGGATTGGGGAACGTACATATGATTCTATTACTATGAGGAGAGATATGCATGGTGGAGCAATTCTACATAGCCAGGCAGAAGAGATACACGTGGTATGTGTAGCTAGGTGGCCATTGTTTGTGTGCCGAGAGCGCCCTCCATGCATAGTCCCAGCACAACGACTGATGTGTCAAATATAGCTCTCAGTCTGAACTAACAAACAGTAGCTGGCAGGACTGAATTCCAATCATGTGACCCCTGTGACAGTGGTCACAGTTGCTGATCCTTCCCACCCCCTGGGCATTCTGAACTTTTACTGAACTAATTTAACTATTTTACAGGATGCCAAAGGCAGAAGAAAGGGGTTAGGAACATCTACTGTGTGTTTACACTAAAAGGCTGTCAACCTGCCATTGTATTGTCAATGGTGTACCCCAAGGTTCAGTGTTAGGACCCTTACTTGTTAATATATTTATAAATAATATAGGGTCTGGGTAATAAAAATCCCATTTCAGTGTTTGCAGATGACACCAAGCTGTGCAGTGGAATAACGTCCTTACAGGATGTCTCCAACTTACAAGCGACCTCAATGCACTGTTTAATTGGGCAACTATGTGGCAAATGAGGTTTAATGTTGATAAATGGTTCTGCACTTGGGGGCTAAGAATATGCATGCATCATACATACTAGGGGGCGTACAACTGGGGGAATCAATGGTGGAGAAGGATCTGGGAGTTCTGGTAGATCACAAGCTTAATAATGGCATGCAATGCCAAGCTGCGGTTTCTAAAGAGAGCAAAACCCTCTCTTGTATGAAAAGAGGTATAGACTCCAGAGACAGAGATATCATATTACCCCGGTACAAATCATTAGTAACACCTCATCTGGAATATGCAGTTCAGTTTTGGGCACCAATTCCCAAAAAGAACATTGGGGAACTGGAGAAAGTACAGAGAAGGGCAACCAAACTGATAAGAGGCATGGAGGAGATCAGCTATGAGGAAAGATTAGAGGAACTGAATTTATTGTCTCTTGAGAAGAGGAGATTAAGGGGGGATATGATCAACATGTATAAATACATCAGTGGTTCATATAGTGAACTCGGTGTAGAGCTATTCATCCTGAGGTCATCACAGAGGACAAGGGAGCACTCTTTACGTCTGGAGGAACAGAAATTTAATCTCCAAACACGGAAAGGTTTCTTCACAGTAAGAGCTGCGAATATGTGGAATAGACTTCCTCAAGAGTTGGTTCTGGCCAGCTCAGTGGATTGCTTTAAAAAAGGCCTGGATTGTTTCTTAGATACACAGAATATAACTGGATACTAACATTTATAGGTAAAGTTGATCCAGGGAATATCCGATTTCCTCCCAGGGGATCAGGAAGGAATTTTTTCCCAGCAGGAGCGAATTGGGTCATGTTTTACTAGCTTTTTTTTCCTTCCTCCAGATCAACTGTGGGTGTAGGGTTATAACTTTTTTTTTTTTTTTTTTGATGTAACTGGATGGAAGTTTGTCTTTTTTCAGCCAGATTAACTATGTATGCTTTTGGAGAAAATAGCTAAGATGTCAGTACCTCTGTTGTAAACTTTGAAAATTAATTTCTGTGCAATACCTATAGCTGCAGAAGGCTTGTTTTAGGCTCCATGTACACTGGCTTAAAAAAATGCTGATTCTAGAGGAGCTTAGCATTTTGCCTGTAGAAGCAACTAGTATTATCCTATGTGTCTATGCACATTAGGTGGTCTACAGGCATTTTAGAGGAGCTTAGCATTTTCCCTGTAGAAGCAACTAGTATTATCCTATGTGTCTATGCACATTAGGTGGTCTACAGGCATTTTGTATGCTCAGTGTTTAGAGGCAGAAAAAAAACCCTCTTCTTTTGTGCTTTGAGAGTGTTTTTATGGCAGAAAAAAAAATGCTAACTGCTCCTAAACACTAATATAAAAACACTCAAAATTTGCGAGGGGTTTTCCAAGAGCACTGGCGTCTTTTTAAGACAGGAGCCTTAAAGTGTTTATTACAGCTTATTAAGAATAGTCTGGGTACAGGTTCACTTTAAGGCTTCATTCACACGGTTGTAAAAATGCTACTGATGTTATCAAGCGTGTTTTCTAGGAGAAAAGTTCTTGCGTAAAGATATGTATGCATACAAAACTTGTTTTTATGATAATTATTTTTCCCTTTTGTTTAGACTTAATTTATGTGCATACAAATGCCTATACATACAGTATGTTTACAGTTGCAAGAAAAAGTATGTGAACCCCTTGGGATTACGTGGAGGTTTGCATGAATTGGGCATAAAATGTGCTCTGAACATCATCTAAGTCACAACAATAGAAGAACACAGTCTGCTGAACATAATACTACACAAACATTAGATGTTGCCATGATTTAATTGCACATAACATGTAAACATTCACAGTGCAGGGAGGAAAAAGTATGTGAACCTTTGGACTTAATAACTGGTTGACCCTCCTTTGGTAGCAATAACCTCAACCAAACGTTTCCTGTAGTTGCAGATCAGACCTGCACAACGATCTGGAGTAATTTTGGACCACTCTTCTTCACAAAACTGTTTCAGTGTAGCAATATTCTTGGGATGTCTGGTGTGAATCGCTCTCTTAAGGTCATGCCACAGCATTTCAATCGGGTTGAGGTCAGGACTCTGACTGGGCCACTCCAGAAGGCGTATTCTGTGCTGTTGCAGCCATTGTTTTGTTGAATTACTTGTATGCTTTGGGTCATTGTCCTGTTGCATCACCCATCCTCTGCGGAGCTTCAGTTGGCGGACAGATGGTCGTACGTTTTCCTGCAAAATGTCTTGATAAACTCTGGAATTCATTTTCCCATCAATGACAACAATCCGTCCAGGCCCTGAGGCAGCAAAGCAGCCCCAAACCAAGATGCTCCCTCCGCCATGTTTTACAGTGGGGATGAGGTTTTGATGTTGGTGTGCTGTGCCTTTTTTTCTCCACACATAGTGTTGTGTGTTCTTCCCAAACAACTCAATCTTGGTTTCATCTGTCCACAGTATATTTTGCCAGTAGTGCTGTGGAACATCCAGGTGCTCTTTTGCAAACTTCAAACGTGCTGCAATATTCTTTTTGGACAGCAATGGCTTCCTCCGTGGTGTCCTCCCATGTACTCCATTCTTGTTTAATGTTTTCCTTATTGTAGATGTGTCAACAAAAATGTTAGCATGTGCCAGAGATTTCTGTAGCTCTTTAGCTGACACTCTGGGATTCTTCTTTACCTCATGCAGCATTCTGCGCTGTGCTCTTGCAGTCATTTTTACAGGACGACCACGCCTAGGGAGAGTAGCAACAGTGCTAAACTTTCTGCATTTGTAGACAGTCTGTCTTACCATGGACACATGAACATCAAGACTTTTGGAGATACTTTTGTAACCCTTTCCAGCTTCATGCAAGTCAACAATTCTTGATCGTAGGTCTTCTGAGAGGTCTTTTCTGCGAGGCATGGTTCACATCAGACAGTGCTTCTTGAAACCAGTAAACCCAAAACAGGTGTGTGTTTTTTAAGGGCAGGACAGCTGTCAGCAACACATCCAATATCATCACACTGATTGGAGTCAAGGTTGGCTCACTCCTGGCTCCAATTAGCTCTGGGAGAAGTCATTAAGCTAGGGCCTCACATACTTTTTCCTCCCTGCACTGTGAATGTTTACATGTTATGTGCAATAAACCATGGCAACATCTAATGTTTGTGTAGTATTATGTTCAGCAGACTGTGTTCTTCTATTGTTGTGACTTAGATGACGTTCAGAGCACATTTTATGCCCAATTCATGCAAAAAACTCCACGTAATCCCAAGGGGTTCACATACTTTTTCTTGCAACTGTATGTGAGTAAATGTGTGTTCTTAGATGCAGATTTTTGAATTCTGGCTTGTGGATCTGAAAGCAGCTCATGTTTACGTACCTGTGTAAATGGCTCCATTGAAAACAATTCTGCATTCAGATCCGTAATTAACCGCTTACCCACCGCTGTATAGCAGATATACTGCTACACGGCAAAATCACGTATATATACGTGATTTTGCATTTCCGGGTAGGGGGGCACGCGTGCACACCCTACCCGCGCCGCCATTTGCTGCTGCAGATGTCAATCACTAGGTCCCGGACAGTGATTGCCCGCTGGCACCCAGTGATTACCGACAATCACCGATGGGGAGGAATACTGTTTTGTTTATATAAACGGTCTTCCTCCCAGTCAGCTTGGGCACACTGTTT